ATTGAACCCATAGCCTCACACGTGACAGGCAAGCTCTCTGCCACTGAGTTATAGCCCCAGCCCCCCAAAAATGTTTTTTCCCCTAATTTAAAAAAGTAAATTTTAGCCAAAAATCTTATCTTTATTTCTGGACTATTTCAGATAGGGCCTTGCCAGGTTGCTTAGGGCCTTGCTAAATTGCCGAGGCTGTCTTTGAACTTGCGAATCCTCCTGCCTCAGCCTCCCAAATTGCTGGGATTATAGGCGTGCACCACTGCACCAGGCTAATTTTAATTTTTCATTCTACCTCTAGCAAGTCAGGGTCAATAATTCATCCAATTTTTCTCTAGCAACATATCATTAGTGTTCATTTTGTAAATGTAGAATCTGACATATTCAGTCTTGCCCCACCCGTTTTTGGTGCCTGTATATTTATATCACCATCATAGCAGGTATCTGGATATTCATAGTACTATTGCTTATTGAATCAATACCCTATTAGTGGACATTTGGGTTGTTTCCAATTTTTTTCCTATAAAACTACAGGTAATGCTGTGATCATGTGACTACTTGTTCTAGAGGTGCCTCTGTCACTTTGAAACACTGTGTGTTTCTGACCTCTTCCTGTGGGTGTGGGGAACAGACCCAAGGTCACTGTCTAACTTAGGTACTTGGGAGTTAGTGAGACTGGCCTACATCATCCTTATATCAACCTGGATCAAATAAAACATTTGTGTAGGACTGCTTATGCTAGGGAATTTATTTTATTTTTTTTACTAAAATAACGTAATTTTGTTTAAACTAAATAATGAGCATTTTTACATATTTGGCTGAGTGAAAAAAAACAAAACAAAACTGTGGGGCCACCCTTGCTGGGAAGGAGGAGGAATATGACTGGGGAGTTCAAATGGACTCCATGGTGATGCTCCAGTCGAGTTTATATGCTGGGTTGGGGTTACCAGGAATGCTGTTTTTGTGTGTTTATGTTGTGAATTAGCCTGTCCTCCACTGCTATAGCAAAATACCTGAGGCTGGGTAACTTACAAAAAAGTTTATTTGGCTCACAGTTTTGGAGGCTGAAAGTCCAAACATCATGGCACTGGCTGGGGTGAGGGGGCCCCTGCCAGGTTGCATCACATCATGGTGCATGGCATCATGAGAGGGGCACGTGCTAGAGGGAGAGGTCACATGGTGAAACAAGAAGCCAGAACAACTCGCTCATTTACAACAACTGCTCTCTCAGGAATTAACTGGGGTCCCATAAGAACAATGTTAATCCTTTCTGAGAGGCAGCACCCTCAAAGACCTAATAATCTTTCATTAAGCTCCACCCCCCCACGCCTTGGGGGACACACTCAGACCATATCCCAACCACAGCATGTTGTTACCATATACACTTAAGTGTCTCCTTCTATGCATAGGACATAGTTCATAATGTATTTTTAATAAAAGAAAAAAATTCTTGGGATGTCAACCAAGATGAAACTCAAGTTCACTCTATGGGGACCCTGTTTTCCAGTGATTGCTGCTGTTCTTATTGTTGATGGTATCTTATTGGTACTAGTCATTTATCAGACATGGAATAAAATAAGAGACATAGAAGATATTGTGAGTACAAGACTGGTGGATCAACCAGGTTATCTTTTTCTTCTTGATTTGCCTTTTTCTTTCTCTCTGTCTTTTTCTTTCTTTCTTTCTTTCTTTTCTTTTTTTTTTTTTTTTTTTTTTGCACTGAGGATTTAAACTCCGGGTACTTTTCCACTGAGGTACCTTATTTTTTAAATTTTTTATTTTGAAACAAGGCCTCATTAAGTTGCTGAGACTGGCCTTGAACTTGCAATCTTCCTGCCTCAGCCTCCTGAATTGCTGGGATTACAGGTGTGCACCACTGTACCCAGTGTCAGTCAGGTTTTCTTTGGTTGATAACAAAGGAAACTTTCTCTGACTGCTATGCAGAAGTGCACTGGTGAGATTTCACAGGAGAAACATCTGTGGAGGGTGGGATGGGGACGTGCCCTTGAGGTGGCAGCAGAACCAGAACCTTCTGTTGGCCTGAATGAGTGGGTCCATCTGCTTCAATCTCTCTAACCCTTGGCTCAAGACTCAAGTTCAGGGATGAAGGAATCTGACAGATCTGGCTCTGGCTGAAGGTCCACCCTGAGGCTCATGGGCATGTCAATCCTGTGTGTCATTATAGTCCCTAATCACAAAGAGAGAGAGAGAGAGAAAGGGGGGGGGGGAGAAAGGAAGGCTAAAGAGTTCCGCAAAGTGTACAGTGATGAAAAATGGAAACAAATACTGTAACTCAGAAATAAGAGTGGCTCAAACTCAAGTGTGATTCATTTGTACTGGAATAAGTGAATCCAAGGGTATGATGACTTCGAGTCAGGAAAAAAAAGGAAAAAAAAAAAAAAAAGCAGCCAGAAGCCAGGATGCATAAAACCAAACAATAGCAACACCAAACCCAGGGGTGCAAACAGGAAGTATGAGACCACCTGAAATTACGTTTTACTCCACCGGGAAGCCATTAGTCCGTCTTCCAGCACATGGCGGGTTGCAAAAGCTCAGCCCCTTTTAACTTGGAGCATCACTGCAGACCAGGTGGCCTGAGAAGGCCTCTCATGCAACACAGCACAGGGGACACCCCTTTGAGTTATCTTTAATCTCACAATCCCCAGGAGAAGATTCCAAGAAAAGTGAGCTGAGGTCAGAGCTGCACCAGCTGGGAGAGGAGGGTTGCCTTAGGGCAGGTGTTCTCAGCAGCCCAGCTGTGAAAACAAACCAGTGGAGAGAGCAGGAAGCCAAGCCACAGGCCCTGGTTAGTGGTGCCCTCTGGGGCCAGCAGAAGCAGGAGCAAATTCTCTCTGGGAGAAAGTGCGTTCAATTTAGACCCTTAGGGCACCCATATAGAGCAAGAGGGAAAAAGTAGCAAGTATTCTGAAGGTACAAGGAGCCACTTGTGTCAAAAAAATAAAACAAAAGACAAAACAAAAAGACTATTTTAGAATCCCTCCACCTCTCAGAGAGCTGACCTTGGAACTGTCAGAATCCAAATAGAGAACAGATATATGTATATATGAAGTGTTAGATGAAGGATGTAATAAGGAACATAAGACCCCAGGAAATATAATCAGAAATAAAATAGAGAATTTAAAAATGGATCTTCTAGAAATAACAAAAAGAAAAAAGCTTCTTTGTTGAATTAAAACAAAACAAATGCACCAAACAAACAAACAAAAAAACACCTCCAGAAGGTGGTTGGACAGAAAATTAAAGATGGATGAAAAAGAGAATTAATACACTGGAAAGTACATCACAAGAATCACCCAGAACACAACACAGAGTGATAAAAAGATAAAAATATGAAAAGACAAGAGATTTGAAGAATAAAATGAGAAAGTCTAGCATATACCTATTTGGAACCCCAGAAATAAAGAATAGAGAGCCTAAAGAAGAGGCATTATTTGAAAAGACAACAACCAGAACCTATAAGAAAATATAAACACACAAATCTAGGAAACATGTGTATCCTGAACAGAACAAATGAAAAGGGATTCATGCTTCAACTATAGTGAAGTCATAGTGTACCAAAAGTTCTTAAAAGGAGCCAGAGATAAAGAACAAATAAAGATAAATAGTCATTGTAGTCCTGGAGGAATTAAAAAAATGGGTCATAGTTAGAAATCTCCACACAAAGCAAATACCAGACCTAGAGAGTTTTAAAATTAATTCTGCAAAATTTCAGTGAACATGTCATTTCTATCTCCCTAGCTAATTCCATGAAGCCAGTTTAATTAAGAAGAAGAGTACATAAAGAGTACATGAAAGGAAAATTCGCTGCCAGTATAACTCATAAAGATGCTCACCAAAAATCCTATTTGAAACATTGATGAGTAATAGTGTTTCAAAAGAGAAAATATTAATCTCTGAAACTCAAGAGTGGTTTAATTTGAGAATGTCCATGAACTTCATTAATCACATTAGAAAATTAAAGAAGAAAAAGCATATCATTATCTCAATAAATGCCAAAAAGTCATGAAAAAATTCAGCCTCAGATTTTTATTAAAACAAAGTCAAATTTAGAAATAAAAGGGTTACTCCTTAGCCTAATTAAGTAAATCTACTTAACAACTTCTATCATATGTTATTTTAAATGGGGAAGAGTTAGAAGCCTTTCCTTTGACCATGAGTTTGGTAAGGATGCCCTCTACTGCTAATTCTATTCAGCTTTGTACTAAAGGTCTTAGCCAAAGCAATAAGACAAGAAATGAAAGGCATAACAATTGAAAAGGAAGAAACAAAATTTTCATTATTTGCAAGTGATATGATTATTTATGTGGAAAACCCAAAATAATCTAAATAATATCTTTTATGATAAATTTACTATAGATTAGTATAAAATTCAAATAATAAAAATGGTTTTAAAGCATAATAATAAGAGAAGACATCATTTGATTGAAACCAAAAAGTTTAAGATATCTAGGCATCAATTCTATCAAAAGATGTACCAGGTCTATGTGGAAAAATCATAAAATTTTATTGAAAAATCTTAAAGGAGACCTAGTTAAGTGATAGATATTTTGTACTTATGGATAAAAGGATTCAGTATTGTAAAGATGTTAATCTATCCACAAACTGATATATAAATGCAATGCAATTCTAATCCAAATCTTTGAAAGATTTCATTTGTGTATGTGTGTAAGTTGCCAAGTTGTTTCTAAATTATATAAAAGTACAAAGTGCCAAGAATATTCAAGATACTGCTAAAGAAAAATAATTAGGTAGGATATTAAGACATAAAAGGCTGTAATATTTTAGATTGTGTGGAATTTGCACAGGGCAAAAGACAAATGACCAATATAATAGGAGAGTAATCTTGGACACAAACCCAGGGATAAATGGAACTTTGATATATATATATATATATATATATATATATATATATATATATATATAGGTCTCACTGGAGACCATTATATGTGTTTACATATAATGCTGGCTCAACTGGGCATCCAGTGAGAAATGGATCCACACTGTGCACCTCAAAAAAAAAAAAATCCAGACAGAGGACTTACTGTGGAGACTATAAAGTTTTGAGAAGACAAAGTGGAACTGATCTCTCAAATGTTCAGCTACTAAAGGGTTTCTTAAATAAGATGCCAAGGGTTCTAACTGATATGGGGGACTTTACCCGGGAGAAACTCTTGCACATGTGCTTAATACAGAGTTTAGGCATTACATCATGTAGATAAACCTATTAAGGAGAAATGGAATAAGAAATGCATTCTCTCTCAGGAGCAGGAGAAAGAGAGAAGAGGAAACTTTCAGTAAGTACAAGATGATAATAACATTTTCTAGCATTTCTGTTGTAAGTTTAGTGGTGTATAGAATTTAATGGTGAGAAATTGGTGCCAGGCATGGTGGTGCACGTCTATAATCCCAGTGATTTAGGAGGCTAGGGCAGAAGGATCACAAGTTCAAGGCCAGCCTTAGCAATTTAGCAAAGCCCTAAGCAACTTAGTGAGACCCTGTCTCAAAATTAAAATTAAAAAAAAAAAAAAGGCTGGTGATAAAGTACCTTGGGTTCAACAATCAAAGGTGCAGGTGTGCAGGGCATCCAGAGGACCACCAGGGCCAGGAGACAGCAGCCCCTTTCTGACTGGGGCTTCCCTTCCCATCCCGCCATTTTGTCTCCCTCCATGCATCAGTACCCATACAGAACATCTTCTGAATGCTGGTGCCAGGTGCTTGTGAGCCTCTGTGGCTCCCCAGGTTAAATCTTATCCCCATGCTGTCGACACTTTCCTCGAGTCCTGGCATTTGTGCTGAAACCAAAGTTGCTCATAAATGGCTGAAGCACAGATTCCAGCTGGCCCCATGTCTTAGCCCAGCAGGTCTACTGCTTGGCTTGAGCCCCCACTGAGCTAAAGGAAACTGGGCTGACTGGATATAGGATGCCGAAGGAACTGGAAACCTCCAACCTACCCCATTTGTGGGCTTCCTCAGTCCAGCAGTCTGACAGACTTGGGTAGCTACAGGGTGGGTACTGGGGGCAAAGACAGACCCAGGCTACCACCAGTGAGAACTCTGTGATCTCGCAAGAGATGTCTCCCCAGCCAGACCTGGGCAGCGCCGGACGAGGTTAGATGTCCAGAAGCTTGTCTTCCTAGGTCTTCCTGAGTTCCCACATCCAGACGTTTGCTTGGAGGCACCATGGTAACCACGATGCCACAATGGAACATTCTTCCCGAGGTAGTAGAACAAACTCCTCTGTTGAGCTCTGCTGTGTAAGGCCGCCAGAGTGAATTCATTTCTTCTTTAGTGAGAGCAGTTCATGGAAGAACTCTGAAGACCATCCTGAGGACCAGGAACATCCGGTGTCATGAGGAGAACAAGGTGACTTAGAACGGTGTACCCGGGTTTCTTAGGGCATCATGCATTGCTTGAAGCAAGGGTGCTGGCCTGGAGATGTGGAATGACAGGAAGAACCCGGGAGCCTGGATTCAGGCGGTCCTGAGATCAAATTTCAGGTCCACAGCTTGGGAGATGTGTGACCTTGGGCTGGCTTCTCAACGTCTCTGAGTGTCACTGTGTGAATCTGTAAAATGAGGATCATGAGAGGGTCTCTCTCCCTGGGTGGTTGTGTGGATGAGTGAGCTAGATGCTGGGGCTGCAACTTTGGAAAGGTACTGGCAGTTGCTAGTGAAAAGAAATCCCAGCATGACTTAATCCTGCAGAGGTGAATAGAGGGGCCAAATCATAGGAGAGATCTGAGCCTGGGGTGGGCTTCCACCCAAAGCCTGCTTTTTCCTCTCAGCAGCATTTTATGGATACAGAGTTATCGCAAGGGTTGAATTCCATGAGGCAAAACAAACCCTTTTCAGAGACCTAACTCTCTAGGACGTCCAGGGGTCCAGGCTGCATTGAGAAGAAAACTGTAAAAAAGTGGGCTGCCTTCTCTCCTTGAGCCATCTTACGAGCTGCTAGCTGGACATCGTGCCCCTTTACTGCACAGAACCAAGCACTAGGGATGTGACAGGTTGGTTTCGAGGGTCCCTGACACTCACCCCTTTGTGGGGGGTGAGGAAGACCCCGGGTGTGTTTGCCGGGATGTGCAGTCGCTGAATCTCCTGTCTCCCCAGTTGCCCATGGTGTCCGCTGTGGTCCTCTCTGGGGATGGCAGAGATGAGAGGGGTGCTGCTGGTGCTGCTCTGCCTGTTCCAATCCTCTGCCGGTGAGTGGCCCGGTGAGTGACTGGGGAAGGAGGGCAGTGGAGAGCAAAATAGCCCCTGGGACTGCCGTCTTGTAACCCAGGGTGCAACAAAGTCAGGGGGCTCAGCTGACCCCACCTGGGCCAGGAAGTGAAGTGGTCCTCAGTGTCCAGGGAGGGACTCAGGGAGCTGACACAGCACTTTGCTCTGACAGCAGGAACCAGGCATCCCCATGAACCGTGGGATGTGGATGCAGGAAAGTGGCTTCAGAAGCCCAATCCCAGGGTTACTCCTCAGGGTAGGAAAATAAGCCTTAAGCTGCAGAGAGAGGTGCCAGGCAGAGAGTCAGCGGGAGGCCTGTCCCCGACCCTGCCCTCTGCCAACTGTAACCACCTAGTGTGGGGCTGCTCCTTCTGCTGTAGGTGGCCTGCAGCCTGCCAGAGCCTCAGGTGGCAACTGTGGCAGCTGCAATCCCCTCCTCGCCTGATCTCCAGGATCTTTAGGACAAAGAGTTCCAACCTGCAAAAGGGCAGGCAGACAGGGGCCGGCTGACCACTAAGCCCACTACATCAGGACTGGCCCCACCCTGTGGCCACCACAACTGGCTGGGCCCTGCCTTCCTGGGAAAGATGGGAGACAGGACAGCGCCCACCCCCACGCACATGCCGGGGCCCTCCGCCTGCCTCAGTCTCCTCCACCTCCACCGCCTCCTTGCAGCCCCAAGGGGACAAGGAGATGCCTGGAAAACACAGCCGAGTGACCCAGATAGACATTTTATCTCTGCATCCGATCTCATGACAACTTGGCTTCCCAGGGGTCAGTGAGGTCAACTGAGCAGGCCAACTAGAGCTTTGGAAAGGCACAAGCCATCACACGCACAAGGCACCTGGGTTAGGAAGGATTGGTCAATGCCTGGACTCTAAAGATTGCCAATGTCCCAACAAAAAATCAGACTGTAGATAAGGAATCCTACCTTTGGTGGCTCCTGAAGCACTTTGTGGCTTTACTGATACCATCTTGCTAACAGTGAGCCTAGTTATTGTTCCAGTAAAATCTCCAAGGGTCCCTTAATGAGATATTTGATCACATGATGTCCCATAATAGAGAGGTCCTCTGGGGTCTTTTAGTGATACTATATTGTAGGTGACAAGTAACCCATGGTATCATGATTTGGAAACTCTGTCTCTGGCGCTGACAGGAAAGGTCACCTCCCAGACTTCACCTCGGCTCCTCTTCTGTATACTCCAGGCGTGGCCATCACTCATCGGCCTGTGCCCACACCTGGCAGGGCTCTGTGCCGGGGAATGCATGGCTGTAAGTGCAGTCACCAATAGTATAATTCATACAGTCTGGGGGTGGGTGTTCATCATGTGACACCTGTGACCCAAGGCCACCGATTTAGAAGTAAGTGTTGGTGCTTGCAGATCTGGATTTACAAAGCGCAACCAAAGCAATCGTTTGGATTTTTAAAAATACAGTTGTCCATTCTGCCCCGAGGTTGAGCATTACCTGTCTTAGGGATACGTCTGCAAAGCACCTTGTGTGATCTTCATTGCACCTCTGAGAGGTGTGCGGTCCTGGACCCTGCCCCATGTTTCAAAAGAGGAAACGGAGACTCAGAGAAGGGAAGTGGCTCCCCACGTTCTCACAGCTGCCTCGGAGGCCCACTTGACTCTGGACTCTGCGTTCAGGTCCTTCCTAAACACACGTTAGAATCTCTCCTGAGAAACGACCCAGAGTCAATGCAGTGCTCAGGATTCTGGCAAATGTGATGTAGGACAGACACTCTGCACCCACCTCTGCTTAGGGGCAATCTGGGTCCAAAAAGTAGACAGGGACCAAGTCCTGTGGGGGAGGGGCTCCTCAGACAAGACATGCTGACACAGGGCAGCGGAGAGCAAAATAGCCCCTGGAACTGCCGTCTTGTAACCCAGGGTGCAACAAAGCCAGGGGGCTCAGCTGACCCCACCTGGGGCTTTGAGGACGTCATTCCCTTCCCTTTCTTTTTCCCCTGCCTCTTTCTCTCCCTCCCTCCTTCCTGTCTCAAATATGCTTTATTTTTAATTTTCTTTAACTGTCACATAAAAATTGTGCTGATTTGTGAGGTACTCCTTCCCAACTGGATCAATTTTTTAAAAATATTTTTTAGTTGTCAATGGACCTTTATTTTATTTATTTAAAGGTGGTGCAGAGAATCGAACCCAGTGCTTCACACATGTTGGGCAAGTGATCTACCACTGAGCCACTGCCTCAGCCCCTGGATCAATCTTAAGAGTCTTCCTTTTCTAACATCCTAAAGCTTCATGACTCCATATGTAGAGAACTTTTTTTAAAAAAAAAAATTCAGGGCAAGACAGGACCACACTGGACCAACCCAGTACTAGTAGGGGAGTATACTATTTAAACCATTAATCAGGGGCTGGCGATGTGGTTCAAGTGGTAGCGCGCTTGCCTGGCATGCGTGCGGCCCGGGCTCGATCCTCAGCACCACATACAAAAACAAAGATGTTGTGTCCACTGGAAACTAAAAAAAAAATAAATAAATATTTAAAAATTATTTCTAAACCATTAATCAACATTTAAATCTCACTGGAAACAAAGTCCAGGCTATCCAAGAGATTGTCCAGTTCAATAATTGAAAGGCAGAAGCTGAGCAGGACTGGTGGGGGACACAGACAACCCCCAGTGGCCAGAACCTTTTAGCCTCCCAAAGACAAGAGGTCAGGGAGCCTTAGCAGGCAGAGCCCTTTTGTTCATGAACTAGGTAACTTACTGAGCAACTGCTAAGTGCTAGGCACCATGTTAGACCCTAGGGATATATTCCAAGTAAAACAGACCCAGCAGCAGGGAGAGACGCACAGCTCGCTGGGAGAGAGCAAGGGTGGATTCAAGGATACAAACTGTGGCTGGAACATAAACCTTGAGGTTGAGATGTTGGAGTCTGGATTCGTCTGGAATGGCACCATCCGCTACCAGCTGTGTAAACCGACAAGTGCTTAGTCACCCTCACCCTTGATTTGGTCACCCAGGAGCTGAGAGTGGCGACGCCCAACCTTCAGGGTTGTTGGGGGGATCCTGTGAAGTAGGGAATACAGGCAATTATCAAACTTTTTTCAGGACCCTTTAACACTCTGAAAAATTATTGGCAATGTCCAAAGACTTTTTGTTTTATGGAGCTATATCTACCATATTAAAAATTTAAACTAGGAAAAACTTAAAACACAAGAACACACAAATTTACACACACTATCGGCCATCCGAGGGATGACATCATGAAGCCTCTGGAAAATTCCACCTACCGTAGTCACAGAAGGAGAGTAAGAAAAGCAAATCAGAGTTTTAACCTGGAAGAAAAGCATCTTGACTCCCCAGGTCCCAGAGGGCACTTTGGGAACCGGTGACGTATTCAGAAGAGCTCAGGTATTGCCTGGCGTGTAGGGCTGCGTGCTCAATAAATGAGCATTAGCATCAATGTCGGATGTGACGTTTCGGTCCAAAGATGCCACCAAGCATCTTTAATGTGGAAGACCGCCTAGGAGAAGGAAAGAAAAGAAACAGGGTGGTAAAATCATGATGAGCAAGACAGGAGAGCCGGCTTGAGAAGGGTCCCAGGGCTGGTGGCCCTGTAGGCGGCCACCAACCCCTTGCCCCACAGTAAAGTCCGCACTCCCTCTGCAGGTTGCGGCCTCCAGAAGTCCCCACTTAGGGACCTTTCCGAGGAGGACCTGGTCACCAGCACGCAGTTCCCCTGGGTGGTGTCGATACAGGACTTGCAGTACACCCACCTGGCGTTCGGCTGCATCCTCAGCGAGTTCTGGATCCTCACCATCGCATCCGCCTTTCAAAACAGGCCAGTACCTCTGCCTTGGGGCGCGTGAGGCCCGAGTGGGGTCGCGGGGTGGCTGATCCCTACTCAGTCCAGAGACACCTTGCAGGGCAGGGTAGATGCCCACCACCAGGGGGGCTGGCTCCTGGCTCACAGCCTGCTCTGTCACAACTGGGGATGTGGCTCAGTGGTCCAGCGCCCCTGAGTTCAATCCCTGGTATCTCCAGCCAAAAATAAAAACGTCGGTGCCTCTGAGACTATAGTAAAATCAGAATGCATGTCCTGCCTGTAGAGAACGGAGCAGAAGCCACTTTGCTCCTCGGTCGCCACTCACAAGTCCCCAGCGCAGAGGCACCCTGGCGACTGGCGATTGTAGAACCCAGTTCAAAGCCACTTTCTTACAGTGGCACTCCAGGGCTAAAATTGGTATCAATTTGCTAGAGGTAACAAAAGAAATCTGTCATAGTTCGGGTGTTGGCAGGTTTGGTTTTTCTTGAGTCCCCTCTCCTTGACTTGTTGATGACCGCTTTCCAGCTGTGCCCTTGCGTGGCCTTTTCTCTCTATGTGGACATCCCTAGTGTCTATCTCTAGTGTCCTATTGAATTAGAGACCTGCCTCTTTAACGTCAATGACCCTCTCAGTGGCTGTATCTCTAAATACAGTCCCATTGGTGGTCAGGGTTTCAACTTATGAATTTTTTTTTTGGGGGGGGGCAGGGGAACACAGTTCATTCCACAACATCCGCCAATACAGCTACGAGCACACCATCTACCTTATTCCTCTCTTAACTTTTTTCACTCGATAATTTTGGAGAATTTATCTTATAGACAAGAATCATATTTGCATATTTTATGACCTTTTTGCCAGCTGTACAATACCCCATTGTGGATATAGCATAATTACACAGTCCATTAAGAATGGAAATTTAAGCCAGGTGTGATGGTGCCTGTCTGGAATCCCAGGGGCTCAGGAGGCTGAGGCAGGAGGATCTCGAGTTCAAAGCCAGCCTCAATAAAAGTGAGGTGCTCAGCAACTCAGTGAGACCCTGTCTCTAAATAAAATACAAAATGGGGCTGGGGGTGGGGCTCAGTGGTCAAGTGTCCCTGAGTTCAATCTGCGGTAACCCCATCCCCCCCAAAAAAGGGAATTGGAATTGTTCCAACATTGATTAGTACCAAAAATGCTCCAGTAGACTTGTACAAACATTATTTCACACACATGCAAATATAGTGTAGTATGAATAACCTAGGTGTGGAAAGACAGAATTAAAAAAGACATGCCTTTATATAATCTCCATTGCTCTTGCCAATGAGCCCTGCACGGAAGTTTGGAAGTTCTGCTTTTCCGTTAGAGTTTTCATTGTTGCTATTCTCTATCACTTAGTCCTGGTTTTGAGTTTTGAGTTCTGGTTTTGAGTTTCACTTTGACTCAAGTGTTTTATTAAAGACAGAGTTTTAAAATATCCAGATGTAGGGTCCTTTGTTAGTTTTTCCCTAACATTATTCGAGTTATGCTGCATGGCAAGTTATTTAGCCATTTGCTGAGGTTGTCTTGTAGTCTGTTATATGTGGAACATACTAATATTGTCCCAAAAGTTCACTCTCTGTCTTTGATGTATAATTTATTACATTAAAAAAAATGGGAAGAGGAGATCTACCTGATCAGTGTACTAGACTGATAGAGGTGAGTTGAAATCTCCTACCGAGAATAAGCCTGTTTCTCCTCTTATTTCTTGTGATTTTTTTTACTTGGGCACTGTGTCACTTTACCATAGACTGAATTCTTTGTCGTTCTAAGAGCCTTTTGTAGCCTTACTTAATGCTCTTCTCAGAGTCGATGTTTGGGTTGCGACTGCTGCTTCTCGTTCTTGTTTCAGGTTGCATTTTCTGTTTTTATTTCTTGTTTTTCTTTTCACTATATGACCTTTCTTTTGCTTTCGATGTCTCTGCTGAAAAACTTATTTCTTCATTCTGCTTTTCAGAATGAAAATCTTCTTTAGCTTAGATCTATAATTTCATGCAAGACCCCCAATCCTCTGCTTCTTTCTGGACAGTTCTTTCTAGACTCTGCAGTGGCCAATGCCAGGATTTCTATCTTTTCACTTCTTTTCTCCTCTTTTATCGTCCAGATTTAATGGATTACATATGTGTGTTGGTGTTCCCTGCATTTCATTGATGTTTTTGCATATTGAATTATTTCTTATATTAGCTGTACAAGAATAATATGTTTAGACTCCTAAAAAAGATGAAAATATTGGTTCACCTACCCATTTCTGACTTGCTTTCTAACTTGTTATGCTATTTGAATTTTGCAAGGGCTTACATTTTTGTTATAATCTAAAAACTTTTGAAAGTTTTTTGTTTTAATTTTAGTCCAATTTTAAAATGAATTTCACATACCCCAACGGTCCTTTGTCTGGATTTCCTCCATTGGACACTAGGTCTGGCTAAAATGTGTCTTTGTGTAGTTTGTGAAAGGCTCCCAACAACCACATTTCCTTGGTCTTTGCATATTCAAAAGCATTCTGCTGTCCTTAAACTTGGATGATCACCGAAGGACAGATTTCATGGCTCATGACTTCTTTCTTTTTGAAGATTTTAAAGGCTTCGCCCCACTCACCCCACTCTGGTTTCTAGAATTGAATTTAGCTATAGAGAAGTCTGAGGTCGCCCTATTTTCTCCCTCTGGGTGGAGTGATCACTCGTTCTTGTCCACCTGGGGAGGAGTCTGGTTGAGACCTGCTGTCTCAGATTCCTGCTGTTAGCCCCTCCTCTCTTATCACAGCTTCTCTGAGTTAGACAATAAGTGATATGACCCAATTTAGAATGACTTCACTTTTCTTCATCTGGATAGCCAGGGACTTCTTGTCACCTTAACTTAAACTTAACTCCATCCTTAGTAAAACCAGAACTTCTCCAAAGTGTATTTACAAAGTATCAGATTGGAAAGAAGCTTGTTTTAAAGTGTCAAGTGCTAAAAGCAGGAGGCTTTTTAAAAACATTCATAGAAAGTTTAACATTTGTAACAAGGTGTTGGAACAAAGGGCTTGAAATAAAAGATCCTTCAGGCTCCCAAGGGAAGACACAAGCCTAGGGATTAGGAAAATATTTCCTGGAGACTGATCTAAAGGAGTGAGTAAAAATAAGCCCAGGGGCCGGGCATGGTGGTGCACACCTGTAATCCCAGAGGCTCAGGAGGCTGAGACAAGGAGGATCTTGAGTTCAAAGCCAGCCTCAGCAAAAGTGAGGCTTGCCAAGCAACTCAGTGAGACCCTGCTTCTAAAGAAAATACAAAATAGGGCCAGGGATATGACTCAGTGGTCAAGTACCCCTGAGTTCAATTCCCAGTACCCCCAGTAAATAAATAATAAGCAAGCCCAGGGAAGATGAGTCGGATACCCATTCCAGGCTGGGAAGTAAGGAAACAGGAAATGTGAAGCTCCTGGTTGCCTTAGCTTCTCAATGTTCTCTTTTCTTCCTCTCTCTCCAGGAAGTCTGCCATAGTTATTGTTGGTATAGCTAACATGGATCACAGAAATATTGCTCACACAGAGTATCCAGTCGATACCATCATCATCCACGAGGACTTTGATAACCACTCCATGAGCAATAACATAGCCCTCCTGAGGACAGACTCGGCCATGCATTTTGACGACCTGGTCCAGTCCATCTGCTTCCTGGACAGAAAGCTGCATAAGCCACCAGCCTTGCAGAACTGCTGGGTGTCAGGATGGAATCCCACGTCTGCAGTTAATGCAATCCTTCTCCTAGAGGAGGCTGTGTGTGTGCTGGCAGTGGGGGGACTCAGATGAACTGTTCTAGGGCTTACTGTAATAATTCAGGCTATTTGAAGTTCTGGAGTTGGGCTGGAACCCTCACCCAAACATGGAATCTCTATATTATACGGGTCCTTTTTCCTCTAGGCCTATACCCAAACTGGAAGTACAGAGGTAGTGGACAGCCTGAGACGTGCACAAGGTTATGGGGGGTAGGGAGTGGGGGTGGGGATGTGATTTCCTAGACTAGAGCTGATTGCCCAGCCATCCCTGGAAAAGAAACAAGGGAATAGACATCCTCTAGATGTGGAGGAAGGGTGCATTGTTCTCTGCCTGTTTACACATTCGAGTCCAGAACAATGACAAAAACTTAGACATAGGTTCTGGTTTCTAGAAAGAAGGGGGACTTATGGGCACATCTACCTGTGGTCATTTGGATATGTGAGTGGCAGCTGCACTGACACAGGGGACTGCCTTCTTCTTAATAATTCTTGGGCTCTCTGTTGCATGGTCCAGACAGGAAATCACATGACAATGAGTATCCTGAGGAGAATCTCCGTGAAAGACATTGACCTGTGTCCCTTACACCTACTCCAGAAAACAGGGTGCGGCAGTCACACACAACGGGAAACCGAAGCCGTCTGCTTGGTAAGAATGATAAAGTAGAACCTGAATCCTGGAGACTGAGCCTTGGGGACGTCCAGGTGGGCCTGGAGGCTCCTCCTCCCTGCATGGGAACCTCCATGGGGGCATGCCTTGGGATTCACATCTGCTGAATGGACAAACCAGTTACCATGTTCAACGTGGCATGATTAAGCAGGTCTAAGTCACAGATTTTTAAATGGGCTGAAAATCGGTGCCGAACTCCACATGCAGATCTATCTGAGCAGGTCTGTAGGAGAGGAGTCGCTGAAACCAGCCCGTGTGGGATCCACTCTCCTCTAGTGCTGGTGAATGTCAGATATTGGGGTTTTCCTCTGTGAAAAGCCCTTCCCTCCCGCCATGCGAGGGCTGTACAGATACGCCCTTCCTGCAGAGTTGCTCTTTCTTCTCTTCACTCTCACCTCTCTTCTGGAGTGACTTCCTCAGGAAAGGGGAGGCTTATTGAAGGAGGATACCCCCAAACAGACCAAACACCCTGGCCTCACCCTGGGAAGGGGCCGCAGTGGCCGCTCTTCTGCCTCTCTGCTTCTCCTGGATGAATCTGCTCCTTTTGTCAGACACTCGGGGTCTGCCTGCGTTCACACAGTGAGAGCAACATTTCACTGCCTGCTCTTCCAGCCAGGCAGGCCTCACTGGTCCAATGTGGCTGAGTAGCCATTGGAGGACAGCCCTCTTCACAGACCTGAGATGGACCATGGGCTAGAGGTGGGTGTGGCACATTCCTTTAAGAGGAGGTCTGGAGTGGGGAGTGGGTGGGACAAGGAAGGTAAATCATACCCAGGAATGGTCTTGTTGCTTTTCCCATTCTTCTCAACTTTTTTTTGTGGAAAACTGGTGGCCTTTTATAGACATCAAGATGATAGAGAGTGCATCCTGTGCGCGGTACCATGTAGGTGCTTTGCGTGTGTTAGAGGCATTCACTGTGTCCCCGCTTGGACTCAGAGAGAACCTCGTCACTTGGCTAGGGTGGGGAAATCTGGGAGGCTAGCCCAGTGGGCATTCCCTGGGGGCTCTGCTCCCACTCTCTAGACATTCCCTTTGGGACTTCAGGTGGAAAGGAGCAGCTTAGGTGAAAGATGGGAGCAAGCTAGGGAGGAGAAGGGGAACAGCATGCATTCAAGCCAGAAAGGAGAGGAAGGAATACCAATATTTGAGGAATGAGAAGCCCAAAGAGGGAAGAAATAGTCAAAGTACTGGGGACATGAAAGGGACAAGAAAATGCAGTATGAACCAGGAAACTTCAGGCAATCGTAGGAATCCCCCCAAATAATTTGCATTATAAAAGGAAAATCGCATTGGAATTCGAGGTGGTGGCTGTCTAGATTTGAAATAGTATCCTACCATCTGCCCTATTTACAGGGAGAACCCGTGTAAAACATTTCTAGAACAAACAGCACAGGAATCTATTAAAAAAAGAAAACCTGTTTTTCTAAGACCTGAAGCCTTCTGTCCTTTGTCGCAGGGGGAAGCAGGAAGCCCCATGATGTGCCAGCTACAGCAGTTGGATCTGTGGATCCTGAGAGGAATCCTGACCCAAGGTGGAGATACATGCCCAGGCATCTTCATATACACCAGGGTGGAAGATTACAGCGACTGGATCATGTCCATGACTACCAGGGATGACCATCCCCTGTTCTCACTCCAACACTGGGACCATTTTATACCTCGTCCCTCTTTCGAAGAGCACGCTGCCGTGACACGGAGCACCCATGCTGAAGTGAGCCACAGGAGCACACATGCTGAAGTGAGCCACAGGAGCACACATTCTGAAGTGAGCCACACCAGACGGTCCCAAGCCTCCTTCCAAGAACAAAGTAGTTCCACTATGACTTCACAGCTGAGGAACAGCACTAGAGATGAGCTAGACTTTAGGGAAAAGGGTCTCCGGGAATCGGGCAGGTCTTCGGAGGCGGCCCTTCAACCCATGTACTATGACTATTACGGTGGGGAGGCTGGGGAGGGGGGGTCTTTTGCAGGTCAGAACAGGTTACATCAGCCCCAAGAAATCGTCTTGGTTTTCTTCGTGCTTGTTTTCTTTGGCAGCGGTGTCTAGTCTAAGGGGAGCTAATCCACCAAACTGAAGAGGAAGCTCAGGATGCCACGTGCCAGGCATTCGCCATGATGTTGGGGTGTCTGTTTTTGATAGTTGCACACCTGGGCTGCCACGGACGGCCCCACAGCACACACTGGGCTGGCTCTCCCTCCTCTGTCCCACTCCCACATGCGGAAAGGTCACTTTCATTTGTGCTTGTGAACTAAACGTGGGCTAACAAGTGTCAAACCGTTAGCGTGCCCTGTGGTTCTTTCAGTGACAATGGTTCCAGGGGCCAGGCGGTGAAGACTCCCCGTGGGCAGATTGGCCTGGGAGGTGATGGCCAGCCTGGCTGGGGAGTCGGGGACACCAGTGAGAGGACCCTGTGACTAGAAGAGAGGGGAGTGCTTTAATGGATCATTTCTTGGTCAGCCATCCGTGCTCCTGCCCCTGGCTACTTCCCAGGGGAGCCAATTGCTTGCAATTCCTCGTTGCTTGCCTTTATTTTATCCCAAGCCTTGCGGTAGCCTTTCAGGGACATCTGCAAAATAGAAAAAGGGGAGGGGAAGAAGGTCAGTTGGGGAAATCTGAGTGCCTATACCTAATGGGGCACTTAGCCAGCCTTGCTGCAAGTGTGGGCCACCTGTAGGGGGCAGCACTCTGCCCTGCAGCATGCCACCAAGGGGAAGTGGCCATCAGGAGATCCTTCTAGGGAGCCTGTTTCATCTCCGTGGAGTGAGGAGTTGCAGATTCTGGCTGGAGTCTGGTGGGCCCAAGTTTGAATCCTAATTTTCTCCTTGCCACTAAGTGACCAGGGAAAAGGCAGGAGAAAGGAACATGGAAGTGGAGTGAGGTCCTAAATGCGAAGACACCAAGCCCCCAGTTTTCCTAGCAGCCTGACCCGGAAGCTATTTAAATGATGTCTTCCAAGTGGCCTTGGTTTGCATCCTGGCTGTGGCAGTCTTGACACCAGTGCAGTGTCTTTATGTTGCCCATTTCTCTTCCACAGCTCACAAGGAGCCAGGGCACTTCCTGGGCACACAGGACCATATTCAAAGGCTGTGGGATTAGTTTAAGACAAAGGCCCACGGTAACTCTGTCAATGTATGGAACTGGGTTCTGAGTGATATTAAAAATCCATTGTTATCTCATTTTTTAAAAACTGGCTTCTCCATGTATAAAGTAGCAATCACCAAATTACCTATGGTGTAGGGGGATTCAGAAGCTTCTAGAATTCACTAAGAAAACAACTCCCTGGGAGTAGGTGATGCATGCCTGTAATCCCAGTAACTCAGGGAACTGAGGCAAGAGGATTGCAAGTTAGGGGCCAGCCTCAGTAACTTAGCAAGACCCTGTCTCAATAAAAAAAAATAAAAAGAGCTGGGGATGTAGCTAGGAAGGAAGGGAGGGAGGGAGAGATGGAAGGAAGAAAAGAAAGAAAAGGAAAACAAGCAAATAAAAACACTTGATGGCGGGATGTGATGGCGAACGCCTGTAATCCCAGCAGTTTGGGAGGCTGAGGCAGGAGGATCGTGAGTTCAAAGCCAGCCTCAGCAACCTAGCAAGGCACTTGGCAACTCAATGAGACCCTGTCCCTAAAATAAAATATAAAAAAGGGCTGAGGATGTGGCTCAGTGGTTGAGCACCACTGGGTTCAATCCAAACATCCATAGTCTTAGCCCCCAAAACAAAATCCTAAACAAAATGTCACAGGCATGAAAGACTGACAACTCCACGGAAATGTGGAGTCCCAGCCCCCGGGGCTCTTAGGGGCTCACCTCTGCGATTTCCACTTTCCTTTCCCACATCTTGATGGTCTTCTCCATCTCCATATTGAGGATCTTCTCCCGGAGGTACATCATCACCTGTGGCGCCCGGAACTCAGCCAGCTGCTTCCGCAACTTCTTGTTGGCAGCCTCGGCTTTGGCCCGGTCCTGGGTTGGAAAGGACCAATTACCCCAGGGAATCCTGGTGGCTTCTCCTCTGAGGACTTGCTGGCCCTGCCATCTCTCCCCACAGGCTCCATGTAGTGCAAATGATAACGGTTCCATATTCAGTGGGCGGGGAAATCATGAAGTTCTGCTGAGTTTTTTTTTTTTGGGGGGGGGTTTGGGGTTTTTTTTTTTTATCAGATTGGGATGTCTTAATCCAGTTCAGAAATACTAATCTTCTTTCCCTTCATTTCCCCTTTTTTCTTTTCTTTCTTTCTCTCCTTTATTAAGGAATTCTTAATTTCGTGTGTATGTGAAAAATTGTGTATTGAAGTACACTTTGATCAGTCTCAATTCACTTTCCTGTCTTCTTTTATTGTAAAATACATATAAAATTTGCCATTCAATGGCATTACATAAACTCGCACTGTTGTGTGACTTCTTCACTATCCATCTCCACAGCTTTTCTGTCTTGTCAAACTGAGACTGCTCACTAAACACTAATTCACCATTTCCTCCTACCTTCACCCCTTGGTTACCACCAATATTCCTGTCCCCATGATTTAGACTACTGTAGGTCCTCCCTGTAAATGGAATTATACAATATTTGTGCTTTTGTGACTGGCTCATTTCATTTAACATAATATCCTCAAGATTCATCCATGGTATAGCATGTATCAGAACTTTCTTCTTCTTTTTTTTTTTTTTTTTTTTTTTTGTACTAAGGATTGTACTCAGGGCACTTGACTACTGAGCCACATCTCCAGTCCTATTTTGTATTTTATTTAGAGACAGGGTCTCACTGAGTTCTTAGCACCTCACCATTGCTGGGGCTGGCTTTTAACTCATGATCCTCCTGCCTCAGCCTCCCGAGCAACTGGGATTATCGACACGTGCCACTACACCCAGCATGTCCTTCTGTTTTAAGGATGATTTTTTTTTGTACTGGGAATTGACTCTAGGGGTGCTTTACTAATGAGCTACTTCTCCAGTCCTTTTAGTTTTTTATTTCAAGGCAGGGTCTTGCTAAGTTGTCAAGGATCTTGCTAGTTGCTGAGGTTGGCAGCCTCAAACCTGTGAAAATCCTAATTCAATCTCCCAAATCTCTAGGAATACAGATGTGTACCACCCTGCCCAACAGAGTTAGAGAAAGAAATCACTAAGAAGAGCCCTCTTTCCAGAACTATACTTCCAGCTACTTGGAGGCTGAGGCAGGAGGATCCACAAGTTTGAAGCCAACTTGGGCAAATCAGTGAAAACCTACCTCAAAATAAAAATGTAAGAAGGGCTGGGGATGTAGCTCAGTGGTTGAGTGCTTGCCTAGCATGTGCAAGGCCCTGGGTTCAATCCTCAGCACCACAGTGTCACACGCATGTAAACAAAAAGAAAAATCCTCTTGAGGCTTGGGCAAGCTTCAAAGACTAGCAAAACCTTGCCCCTGCAAAGGGCCCTGACTTTAATTGGATCAGGATGTGATCAATTGATGTCTTGGGGTATTGTTGAAAGCAATAGAGAAATTGGGTAGCAATTAATAGAGATTAATAGCTAGGTTTGATGCCAACTGAGGCAGCCAGAAGTTTGGCAGAAAGATGAAAAACCGAAGGGAACTCAGCTGAAACAGAAATCAACTCTGTTGTCAGGGAGACTGAATTGAGACCAAGGCTGCACCCTCTGAGAACAACGTCAGAGGACACTAGCAGCAAGGGAAGCAGCAAACTCCTGACCTCGTCTAACCAAGTCAGTAAACGATGACAAGCCAAGAAAGGAGGGTAGGGATTACCCAAAGTCACCATGTCATCTAAAGTGTACGCTTCTAACAAAAATTATGAGATAGACAAAGAAATAGGAAAGTGCAACCCACATAGGGAAAGAAGCAGGCAACATAAACTGTTTTGGGGAAGTCCAGATGGTGGACTTAGCTGATGATCTTCAAAGCAGCTATTCAAAGAACCAAAGTAAATCACGTTTGAGGACTTAAAGGAATACATGATGATAATGCCTCATCAAGTAGAGAATGTCAATTAAAAGATTATTTAAAGAGAACCAAATGGAAAATTGGTTTTTAATGTAACTGAAATTTTAATATTGTTTAATATAACTGAAAGTAGAATTTCACCACAAGGGAATCAACAGTAAATTTAAACCATCATAAAAAAAAAAAGAATTTGGGGTTGGGGTTGTGGCTCAGTGGTAGAGTGCTTGCCTTGCATGCATGAGGCACTGGGTTCGATTTCTAGTACCACATAAAAAAATAAATAAAATAAAGGTATTGTGTCCATCTACAACTAAAAAAAAATATTTAAAAAAAATCAGTAATCTTGAAAGTAGATTGATAGAGATCATGCAATATGAAAATCAGGGATAAAAAAGAACAAATTAACTGAATGTCAAAAAATGTGGATGTACATGCAATGACAGTGACAGAACAAGAGAAGGAGAAAGGATCAGAAAAAAATGTATATATTCACTTGATGGCTGAAATCTTCCCAGATTTGATATTAAAATTATACACCCAAAGAACACCTCCAAGTATGGTAAAGACAAAGAAATCCACACAAGGCAAAGAGATTGTTCAAAACAGCAAGAGAAAACAATTCACCCTGTGTAAGATGAAAGAAAGCCTAAGGAGATTAACAGCGGACTTTCATGTGAGATAATGGAGACTAGACGGCAATGGGATGAAACGTGCTGAAAGGAGAAAGAAAAAATGACTCTTACCACAAGTTTTATATCCAGCAAAAATGGTTTTTCAATAATAAAAGCAAACAACTGAGCACACAAAGATCTTGATTTCTGATGCCATTCTTGAAAGGAATCAGGACTTCTTGTGGAGGGATGGTTGATCATCCCAAGATGAACCTAGAGACTCTTGTAGTGCCAGGGAGATGGCACTTCATATCTCTTCATATGTTTTTTAAATGAAGAAGTAACTAAAACATTTTAAAATAAGCAAAAACTCAGAGAATTCATTAATAGCAGACCTGCCTTATGAGAAATGGTAAAGGAAATTCTTCAGGCTGAAAATAAGTAACACTAGATGGTAGTAATTCAGAATTCACATGTCTTTTTAAAAAATGATTTTTAAAATGTAGGTGATTACAAAATATAATATTATTGAATATTTCTTCTCTTAACTGATTTGAATAGCAAGTGCATATAATAATACATGTGTATTAAAGAGGGTCTATAACATAAAAATGTAACATATGTGATGGTAACAGCATAAAGAAGGCAGGTTGAAACAAAACTGTAATTGAATAAGAAAGTAACAGCAGATGGTAATTCGGATCCACAGGAAGAAATGGAGGAAAACACAAGAGGACCAAAAAAAAAAAAAGCTATTATAACAAAATCTGTGAACAAACTTCATCTTCTTTTTTTTTTTTTTTTCAGTTTTGAACCCTTTCTTTACACCGCTTAAAAAATAACTCCAAATGGATCATAAACCTAAATGTAAGAACTAAAACTATAAAACTCTTAAAGAAAGCATAGAGGCAAATCTCTATGACCTTAGATTAGGCAAAGGATTCTTAGATATGACACCAAAGAACAAGTGTAAAAGGAAAAAAAAAAAAGGACTTCACAAAAATTAAACTTTTGTGTGTTGTAAACAATACCATTTAAAAAGTGAAACAAAATCCACAGAATGGGAGAAGATATTTGCAAATCATATATCTGATAAGAGACTGAGTCCAGAATAGATAAGTCTTATAACTCAAGGCTAAAAAAAGTAAATAACCCAATTAAAAACTAAGCAAAGAACATGAGTATACATTTCTCCAAAAAAGGGATAGACATGTGACCAAAGATGCTCATCATTAGAGAAATTCAAATAAAATTACATTGAGATACTACTACACACCAACAGCAATGACCATTAAAAAAAATTTTTAAAAATTATTTTTTTTTAAAATTACAAGTGTTGATGAAAATGTACAGAAATTGGAAGACTTACACATTGCTGGTAGGACTATAAAATGGTGTAACCACTTTGCAAAACAATTTGGCAGTTTCCCTAAATGTTAAACATAGAGTTACTACATATAACTCATGGTCTCCTTTGAGGTATATGTCCAAGAGAAAAGAAGACACATAGTCACATAAAAACCTGTTCAAGATCCAGCATTCTTCATCTTTGCCAAAAAGTAGAAACCCAAATATCCATCAACTGATGAATGGAAAAATAAAATATGATCTATCCACACCACAGAATATTATTCATCCATAAAAAGAAACAAAGTATTAGTGCATGCTACAAGGAGAACTTTGAAAATATTATACCATATTAAAAAAGCCAGACATGAAAGACCACATATTTTATGACCCCTTTTATATGAAATGTCCAGAACAGGAAAATCTGAAGAGATAGGAAGTAGATTAGTAGATGTCTGGCTGGAGAGGAAATGAAGTAATGTAGGGAAGAGAGGACTTATAATAGATACAGGGTTTCTTCTTGGGGTGATGAAAATGTTGCAAAAAGTTATTGTGCTGATAGTTAACATAATTCTGAATACACCATAAACCTTTGAACTATATATACTTAAATGGGTGAGATGGGTGAATGATATAGTATGTGGGTTATATCTCAATAAAACTGGTTTCAAAAAGTTAATAAACAGAATCCTGGGCATTTAAATACACTGAGTAGTGAATGGTAGGCTTTTAAAAGTCAATTTTAAGTTTTACTCGTTATCTAATCACTAATCACCCCAGGAGAAAACAAGTAAGTGGCACAAAAATCCTTCGTGGAGTGAGAACACTGGCTTCTGCTTTAGCTTTGTCACTTGTCACACTGTATTGAAGTTGGGTCTTTTGCAGAAAGTGTTGATTCTCCATTAGGCTACTGTTACGGTTTGGATTTAGAATGTCCCTCACAAGTTTGTGTGTTGAAAAGGTCCCTGATGCAGTAAGGTTCAGAGGTGGGGATATTAGGCAATGATTGGATCACAAGGGCTCTGACCTCATCAGTGGGTTAATCAAATGGATTAATCCATTGATACGTGGGTGAACCACTGAGAGGTAGGACCTAGGTGAAGTAGGACACAGGGGGTGTAGCCTGGAAGGATTTATCTCATCCCTAACCTCTTCCTCCCTCTATCTCTCTCTCTCTCTCTCTCTCTCTCTCTCTCTCTCTCTCTCTCTCTCTCTCCTTCCTGGCTGCCATGAGCTGACAGCTCTACTCCACCAGCCCTTCCACCATGATGTTTCTGCCTTGGAGCCAGCTGACCATGGACGGAACCCATTGTAACCATGAGCCAAAAGAAATCCTTCCTTCTCTAAGTTGTTCTTGTCAGTATTTGGGTCATAATGACAATCTGACTGATGTAAATATGATGTGGATGGCATGACAAAACTGAGTCACAAATAACCCTGTGGGCCTTTGGGGACAGGTTTGGGGCCGGCCACACTGATGGGCACACTTCAGACCTACTCAAGACAGCAACACTAATTGTACTAATGGCTTTTGAGGTTGACAAAGCATCATTATGTGTGGTCTCACCTGATTGCCACAACAAGAGCTGTGACCTCTATGTTACATTTTGGAAACCGGCCTATCTCATTTGAAGTCTTATCCAGATGGGAGAGAGATATATACAGCTCAGTGTTAGAGTGCTTGCCTAGCATATATGAGGCCCTGGGTTAGATCCCCAGCAGTACCAGAAATTAAAAAAATAATTAAGTAAAGGTTTATTCAAGACCAGAAGCTGGCAGCGTGAAACCCAAGGCCAGGCCATTTAACTGTGGTGTCCAGTGCTCTTTTTCTCCCACTCCTTCCCAAAAGCTCACTTCCTATGTGTAGCTGAGTCACATCCTGTGTGCATTAAAGTTACAAAAATTCAGCTCCATGTGCTCAGAAAATAATGCAAGAGATAACTTGAAGGGCAGATATGTAGGGAGGTCAGCTGATCCCTCTCACCTTTCCACACAGTGACCACAGGTTCTGGAGTGAGCCTGGGGCCGAGGTCATAGGTCTGCCATCCTTCACAGATAGGCAGTGCACCGAGGAACCAAGGTCAATGCACCAAGAAATAGTTATTTTTAAAAGAGCACCTCTCTCTCTCTCCTTTATTCAAAACATCATATGTTGTCAGGTGTACTTTTGTCATGTCAGTTATATGACCATGTTATATACATTGTCTATGCGATTGCAGGACAAAACTGTGAATATCTTATTTTACAGATGCATGTGTTATGTGGACTCTGTGAGATTTTTAATTCACTCTGGACCCTCACTCCACAGTAAATGTAACACTCCTGGGCTGTAAGTCCACCTTCTGCTTTGATGGCTCTGAGCTATTTTGATTTTTCTGGTCTAGGCTTCCCGAGATACATAACCAAGCACCTTGGATTTGGGTGGACATTCACACAAATCCTCGCAGACAAGAGACAAACGTCAGAAACGTCTCGCCCTCTCCTACCTCCTCTACTTGTATGGTTTCTTTATCAATTTTTTCAAGAAGCTCTTTTCTCAGCAAGATCTCCTTGCCCAGACTGATGAACATTTCCACCGCTCGGTGAAGCTTGCTCTGAAACACAACAACACAGCGAGTCTTGAGCTGAGAGGCCTCTCAAAACGGCGGGAGGGTAGACAGCAGAAAAACAGGACTGTCCAGGAACTTGGGCTTGCCCTTCTCACCGGTGCCCAGGTTTTCAGAGACCTTGAGTCTGAGAACTGGCAGGGGAAGAGAGATGGACAGTGGTTGGAGACACCAGAATCCACTGTTTACTAAGGGACGCTTTGTACAAGTCCCAGACCTCTCTGAACTTGGACCAGTCACCTTATATTTTGGCAAGGTTACAGGAGATATCCTGGTAGAGAGCCGGGCACACAGTGCCTGGCATACGGAGGACATTGGACAAATGGTTGTCATGACTACCTGGTGAGGATGGAGAGGGAGGGGTACTCCACAGGAAGTGGGTGCTACCATTATCTCCAGTTAAGTCACTGAAGCAATTTGGCCAAGATCACAGAGATGGGGAAGGCAGGATTTGAATCCAAGCAGTGTGATCCCATAGGCTCCATCTACCATGATGCTGGGGGATGGGGGGGATCCTGCAAAGCTCCCTCAAAGGTTCCCATTTCATCACTTGCCCTTCACCAGCTCCCTGAGGTCCCTGCTTCTCAGACTAGTCCCCCTGTGGGTACTGTCCCCCAGGGGGAAGTCAACCAGAATTGGTGAGATATGCTTTGCCTGGCTGAGGAGTGGGTCAAAGGAAGGAGCCAGGACTTTCCAGGTGCTTCTCAACAAACCCACATAATCCACCCACCCACCCTGTCCCAGACACTGTTTAGGGTAGCCAGCCAGGTCCTGCCTCTGGGAGGCCAGCTCAGAGATCTGGAGGCAGTCAAATAAATGCAACAAGAAACAGCAGACAGGACAGGGTCAGGGAGGGTTGTCTGGGGAAGGAATGCTGGAGAGACAGCTGAACTAGGGACAGCTGCAGGAAGAGGGAAGAGAGCAACAATCCAAGCTGAGGAAAGAGCCTGGGGAAGAGGTGCAAAAAGAACTGGGAGAGGAGAGGAGAGAGCAGCGGAGTCCCACAGTGGAGGCAGAGCGGGGCTGTGCAGGGGTGCTGCTCCAGGGGTCAAAACTTAGGCAAAGCGGAGCCAGAGCCCCCTGCCGGGGGGACCTTAGGCTCTGGGAGTCATTCTCCTCCTCACTCCTCATCTCTCCAGCCTGCCCTCCTTTAAGGCTCATTTCCTGCTCTGCCTCCTGCACCTGAATAGGAGACCAGACTCAGGGGGTCAGCTTGGGCTGGGGGAGGCAGGACAAGACTCCGCTGCAAGCCAGCCATTCAGGGGGATGTAGAGAGAGCAGAGGGAAGACATGTACCACCGACTTAGGGGATCAGGACAGAGTGGACCTGCAAGGGCCACAGCAAGGCCAGGGCTGGCTCTGGTGGGGCAGGGTCTTCACAAAGTGTGGCAAGAGCTGGCGTCCAAGGCTCTGTTCAGATGCCGGTCACTTGAGGAGGCTGCCGCTGGAAAGGCTTCCAGAGCTTCCTATTGTGGTGTGGCCAATGACCATAGACTCGGAGGTTTAAAGCCACAGCTATCTGTTATCTCTCAGTTTCTATGGGTCAGAAGTCTGGGCACAGGGTGGCTGCATTCTCTGCCCATGATCCCCGCCAGACTGAAATCAAGGAGTGGCCAGGACTGTGATTCTCGTCTGGGGCTTGGGGTTCTCTTCCAAGTTTACTCATTGTTGGATTAATGCACTTCCTCGAAGTCGGAGCACTGAGGTCCCCGTTTTCTTTCTGGCTCTACAGCAGGAGGTCACTCTCAGCTCCTAGAGGCCTTGCTAAGTGCCCTTCCACACGGCCTCTCCATCTTCAAGCAGTAATGGAGAGAGTCTGGCCTAGGAAATTCCCCTTGTGCTTCACGTATCTGATTCCTAGGCAGAGGAACTCTGCTTTCAACAGGATCACGTGATTGGTCAGCCCCGACTGGATAAGCTCCCCACCTTCAGGTCAAATGTGCCATCTGACATAACCAATGCAACAGGCAGAACCTCATGACGGAAGCTGTCACATTCACAGCCTTGGCTGGAATGAGAGGAGTGAATGCACTGGGGGCAGGGTCTGGGGGACGTCTTAGCAGTCCACCTTCTCTAGGGCACCCAGTCACTAGTTCTGTCAGTCAAGAGTGACTTACTGCAGCCGAAAAGCCACAGGCTTGTGCTCTATCAGACACACCAGGCAGGTTGGAGGGCATAGAGTCACAGGAGAGTGATCGTGATCTGATTCAGGATCACTCAGGAAAGTCACAGAAGAGACCTCATCTGTCCTGTGCTGTCTAGGCACTAGACCCTCGGCACTTGGATGTGTTTGGCAGAAGGTAGGCCTTGGTACTTTTGCTAATAGAGGGAAGTTATTCTGTGTGTTTTTAACAAGGTCCACTTTGGGGTCTTTGATATTTATTTCAAAGTAGCCCCTCCTGTTACCTGTCTTCCCCCCCCCCACACACACACACAGTCAATACTGTCAAGTGAACTCCCTTCCCAGGCCCACGCCGACCCCTGAATCTGTTCTCCTACTCACGTGCGGGATGTGCAGCAGGAAATGAGTCTTAAAGAAGTGCAGCCTGAAGAGAGGAGGAGTGGGGAGGAGAATGACTTCCAGAGCTTAAAGTCCCCCCAGGCAGGGGGCTCTGGCTCTGCTTTGCCAGTTTTGACCCCCTGGAGCAACACCCCTGCACGGCCCTGCATTTGATAATATTGGCTGAGCCCTTTCTCTGCTGGGGGACACAGCACAGACTACACAAAATTCCATCCTGGGTGGTAAGGCATAAAAAACTCACATCTGATAGGTGAGGCGTCTTGCCCCGATGAAGCATCTCCCCCTGCACAGCCACCTGCAATCCCAGGTGAGGTCTGACCGACATTCACAGCTGTTCTGCCTCCATTTCCCCAGGAGAGCTGAAGTGGGTCATGGAGGAAGTGGGTCGGCTTGACCCTTGACCTGCTCGTGTCTACTTTTGGACTCCCGTGGGGCAGCTCCCCCAAGTTCCGCCATCTGCTTGCCATCACATACAAGAGATCTATGGGCACAGTGGCCCCTGAGCTTTGGACCAGAATGGCTCCTGCTGGGCCCCCGTTGGCCTGTGCGGCTGCTGCTCCTCTGGTGTTGCCACTGTCTGCACTGTGAGCTTCGATTCGCCTTTACAGAGCTCAGGGCCTGCACCCTGGGCAGATTCATTTTATAAAGCAGTAGCTCTCCTTCCCAAATCCCAAGACCAGACAGGTCCAGTGCTGGTTAAGTGATTCCACAGGAGAAGATCCAGGTCCAATGTGACCTACCACCTGTTAGCCAAGGTGGCCCGCAGCAAAGGCCCGGGAGGCCCAGGGACTGGCCTCATCTTGAAAGAACAGTGATCAGATCACCAAGTGTGATGAGATAACCTAAAAGTTGGACGTTCATGACACATGAACTTCAGAATGCCGGCACAATGTTTTCTACATACTGTAACCCAGGGAAGGCAGCTGAGGGGGACACACACTGAGCTGGGCATTCTGGCTCTGCCACTAACCTGTGGCTTGAATCTGGCTAATACTCTGCCCCTCAGAGCCTCCGTGTTTTCCATTTGTGAAAGAAAAATGTTGCACAAGCATCAGCCTGATCTAAACATATTCAAATTTACATTTTTAAATGACACTGTGTGGGCCAAATGAAGGCCACCTGTAAGCTACCTACCTAGGCTCACAGCCACCACTGCTACCTGGGCACTAGGCCAGGAGACAGAAAACTTTTTCTATAAAGGACCAGATAGTGAATGTTTTAGACTTCACAGGCCCAGAGGCAAAACAACCATAACTATTACATATTTACTTATATTAATAAGAGAAAAAAACCCAAATCCTACAAATGTTTTATTGATGATCATATGTTTTATTGATAAAATGATAATTGAGTATGATATATTGGAATATGGGTCTACTAGGGAATAGAATGGAATTTCAAGGGAAGAAGTAATTTTGCCTAACCGGGTTTCATAGTTGGTATTCTCTATCATCCAGTCAGTTGCAGATGTTCTATAAAAGCCGCTCTTAGCTCACAGGACACCGGATGGAAATACATTGGCCCAGTTTGCTGACCACAACGTTAGGTGGTTGCTAGAAGGTAACCAGATGGCCTGGTCTGCTGGGGACAGGTCCTATTCATGCCCAGAATCCCTGCTTAATTATTAATAGTGCCTTTTCTCTCCCAAAAGCATTGAATTTGGATGATAAATAATTTAGTAGTTTTCTGATTTTATAGCTAAGACTGTTTTCCTTTGCAGGGTTAGAAGCAGGGAAGTACTTACTATGTGCCTATATTAAACAAGGCCCTAAATGCGGTGGTGTGTAAAACTTTGTGTGTAAAATTTATCCCTATTTCACTTAGGGTAGGACTAGAACATTGGTTTATTTTTAAAAAAAGAAAATCTCACTGGATATAGTATTGTATACGCCTATAATCTCAGAGGCTCGGGAGGCTGAGGCAAGAGGATTGCAAGTTCAAAGCCAGCCTTAGCAACTCAGAGACCCTGAGCAACTTAGTGAGACCTTGTCCAATATATATATATATATATATATATATATATATATATATATATATATATATATATATGGCCTGGGGATGTGGTTCAGTGGTTAAGCAACCCTGGGTTCCATTCCTGGTACCCAAACAAAACAAAACCCTCCCCACATGGTTCTCATGTGCACCCAGGGTTGTGGAACCATTTGGATGCTGAAGTGTTGGGTTTGAAACCTAGTCCTCATCCAGGGGCTGGAAATCTGGAAGCAGTAGGCCTGGTGGGGGTGCTCAGCACTGGGGTGGGCCTTACTTTGTATGCGTTGAGGATTTGCAGGGTATTTCCGGATGACAGTTTCAGCTGGATCAGTTCCTGATTCCGTGCTTCAATCGTCTCTAAAAACTGAGCATTCTCAATCTTCAACTGCTGAAAATCAACATCATGGAGCGCCTCGCCCACCTCTTCCTTCTATGGCTCAGAAAGAAGAAAAGACGTTATGTTCAGGTGTGACTTCACACCTGCAACCTGGTGAGACTTTGGAGGTCAGTCATCACTTAGTCATTCAATGAACATGTCCTGGACATCTGCTCGGTACCAGGCATGGTGCTAGGTGCTGGGGAGAGATTAGAGTAAATGCAGTGCTTCTTGGCCTTGAGGAATACATATGAGGGTCTACGGCCACAGGTGCTAACTCAAGAGTGGTGTGGGTGGGGGATAGTGGGTGGACAGGGGCAGAGTGCACCCAGAGCCCTCAGCCAGGCCAGGGCAGGCTTCCCAGAAGAGACAGTACCCAAACAAGGATGTGAAGGAAAATTAGGAATCGGGCCATTAAAAGTCATTTAAAAATCTTTTAAAAATTAAAAGCCTCTAAATTCCCCTCCTTTGATCCTAGGGCATTACTGTAGAGCAGGTGTGTCTGCATGGCCTCTCTGATTGGCCGCACCAGGCTTCTGCCATCTTATGTTTGTGGTGGCAATAGCCCAACTCAGGGGCTGCTGTTCCCCACAGTGCTCTGCTCTGGCTGTGTGAGTTCCAGGGCTGCTTCTTCCCCATGAAGTCCTGATGCTCAAATATGACCCATCCTCCTTCTCCAACGCTCCACCCTGTTCTTTACACCTGGGAGTCAGCCTCTCTCCTGAGCCTCCAGAAGCTTTAGCTCTGGGTCTTTGCTACTGTGGTGGCCCTCTGTACAGCACTGGGCCTCCTCCCCTTCTCTCAACGACACATTAGTCTGAGCTCAACAGTGCAGGGCCCAATCTGTGTCATTTCTGTGCAGAAACGGTGTGTGGGTGGAGGTCATCCTTCTCCTCCCCAAGTCAACCTTAAAGTCCCTGTTTCAAAATGGCTAAATCTGCATGGACTCCAAGAACAAGAACTCACGCTCTGCAGGCAGCTCCACTGGGGCAACGATCCTTCTTACACTGACTCGAAGCTCTTTCCCTGACACCCCCAGCCCAGGCCCAGCTCGGGCCTCAGGGCCCTGCCAGTTGGTATGTTCACCCTCCATAAGTCCTCCGAGACAGTGGTCATGGCCATCCTGGGCGCATTGTCCCAGATCTTCCCACGTGTTTTCTACTCCCCTCGCCAACATCTTCACTCTACATGAACTCTAGTCTGCTATTCTTCCCAGGGTGGAGCTCACGCTGGATGTAAAACTCCAGGTCAGGGCTACTCAGAACAGCGCAGAGCAAGGCCAGCCCTTTCCTGGTCCGGGCGCCATGTTCCTATGGGGGCAGCTGGGCCACAGCATTCCAGCCAAGCTGACTATCAGGTCCCTAGGGCGTAGCCAGCAGGTACTGGTACAGGTATTTCAGGGGATCAAAGTGCAGGAACTCACATTTGTCCTTAGTCATGTCATTACAGCTATTCCAGCTTGTCGAGATCTTCCAGGATTGTGGGGGGCCACCAGGAACAGGAGCTGAGCATGGAGGAGCTGAGCACGTACCCTTAGCCTTGAGCGATGAAGGTGTGAGACTGGCTTCTGCTCGCAGTGCGAAAGCAAGTGGGCCTCACCTTCACTCAGCAAGGAATTACAGCTCTGGGAGTGGGCGTCACCCAATGGGACTGGGCTACCCCCGCCCCAAACCCAATCCCTTGCCTCATTTGGGTGTCTTCCCCTCAATAAATAGGGTTTCAGACCAAGGAGTAGGATCAGCTAGGGTCAAAAGGTGGTTCCATTCCCAGTTTTTCAAGGAATCTCCATGTTGCTTTCCATATTGGCTGCACCATTTTGCAGTCCCACCAGCACTGTACCAGTGTGCCTTTTCCCCACCGCCTCGCCAACACTTGTTGTTGTTTGTATTCTTAATAGCTGCCACTCTGACTGGAGTGAGATAAAGTCTTAGAGTAGTTTTGATTTACATATCTCTTAATTGCTAGAGATTTAAAAACAGCATACACAGCCACATCAATGTTTATTGCAGCACAATTCACAATAACTAAACTGTGGAACCAACCTTGATGCCCTTCAGTAGATGAATGGGTAAAGAAAATGTGGTAAATATACACAATTCTCAGCATTAAAAGAGAATAAAATCTGCAGGTAAATGGATGGAGTTGGAGAATATAATGCTAAGTGAAGTTAGCCAATCCCCCAAAACCAAATGCCAAATGTTTTCTGTGATATAAGGAGGTTGATTCATAGTGGGATTGGGAGGGACAGCATGGGAGGAATAGACGAACTCTAGATAGGGCAGAGGGAGGGAGGGGAAGAAAGGGGAAAGGGAGTAAAAAAAAAATGGTGGAATGAGATGGACATCATTACCTAAGTACATTATGAAGACACGAATGGTGTGAATATACTTTGTATACAACCAGAGATATGAAAAGTTGTGCTCTATATGTGTAATATGAATTGTAGTGCATTCCGCTGTCGTATATAACAAATTAGAATAAAAATTTTAATAGGGTTTCGGCATGCTGTCTCTCTTTTGCCAGCCTCCCTTGCCTTCTCTGTGGGAGCTGGGGCCAAAGAGCCATCACTGAACCCCAAGAAAAAGGTACTTTCTATGTCTGTGCAATTATTCAGCCCAATTCACCTGGAGTGACTCTGACTGATTTAGTCGCATGCCGCAGCGCTGGATCAGGAGACAATCAAGTAAGTTAGTTCTCCTGCTCAGTTTTGTGTCACCGTCCGTGGCCACCTCTGATGCACGTGCCCACATGTGGCACATCAATACTCATATTTGACTTAGTGATAAAAGTCAAGGAGGAGGGTGCCACACGTCATGCCCGAGGCCCTGAGCCATGTCTGTCTTACGGCCTTTAAGCAGGAGCCCTTAGGGTCAGCTGCACAAAGATTCACCAAAGCACAGTACGGTTGTGCTGCCCCAGCCACATCCCCCAAAGGGGCCAATGAATATGTCACCAGGGTCTTTTAAATCCAATCCAAGTCCATCTACCTCCATGTGCCTGCGTAGTAACTGCTGGTTTCCTAAGGCTGCTAAAATGACTCGCCACAAACCAGTGGCTTAAAATTAGGTGAAGTTATCATTTTGCAGTTCTGGAGGTCGGAAGTCTGAAATGGGTTTGGGACTTAAATCAGGATGTTAGCAGGGCTGCTTTCCTTCTGGAGGCTCCGGGAGAGAAACTTTTCTTGCCATTTCTAGCTTCTGGAGGCGGTCCACATTCCCTGGCTCAGGGCCCCTTCCTCTCCCATGAATCGCATCACTCTGATCTCTGCTGCCTTTACCATCATCTCTCATCCTCCAGCTTCCCTCTGATAAGGAGGGAGATTATATTAGTGCCCAACCAGTAATCTAGGATCCTCTCCCATGTCGAGATCCTTAAATTACTCATACCATGGAAGGAAATGCATTAATAGATTCCAGGGGGGAAGACATCTTGGTGTGGGCGATATCATTCAGTCAACGAAATAAACAAATAAATAGATAAGTAGATAAATGAATAAAGGAAGAACAAGCCACATACCTGCCTCAATTGTAAAAGAAGTTTTTTCCTCTGAACTTTGAGAGAAATATTTTTCAAACGTAATTTATCCCTCAAATTATCCTAACAAACAAACAAACAAAAGCAGAAGTTAATGAATTTCTTTTCTGTGGTTTTGACAAGTAGACTTAGGGGTGCAAACCAAACCTGAACCCTAACGTTTAGTCGTTTATTTTCAGATCCCTCTATTTCTGCCCAAGAAAGCCATGTGATGGCATTTCACTTACCATCAAGATGCAAAGAAAACTGGGTCTGCCCCATGTGAATTTTACAATGCTTTTAAATTCAAGATTATTTGGATGTGGTACAGGGGACTTTCCTGACAAAATGATCTCATGATTCATGTTGGTCGTATATTCTCCTGATAGCTATTACTCATAGCACGTTAGAGTTACCAAGCCAATCTAACTGTCCCCGGGGCCCAAATCTTGCCATGCTATAAAATCTCCAGAAATGAACTCATTATATGCCCCCACATTCCCTTTCGGTTCCCATGCCAGCCTGGGGTCCATTTCCTAATAGTAAGGACATCCAAAGAGCTTGAGATTGACCTGTCCCATTCCATGTAGTTACCTGACTAGCCCAGCCCCACACCTCTTCAGGAAAATACATTAGATCTTGAAACAAATAGGAACAACAGAAAAGAGGAAGTCGGCTGGGTATGGTGATGCACACCTGTAATCTCAGGGGTTTGGGAGGCCAAAACTCTCCATGATTGTGATTCTCCATCACAAGTTTGAGGCCAGCCTCAGCAACTTAGCAAGACCTTGTCTCAAAATAAAAAATAAAAAGGGCTGGGGATGTGGCTCAGTGGGTTCAATGTCTGGTATAAAAAAGGGGAAAAAAAAGTCAGTCTGATATTCTGTCAATATTCATCCTGCTTGACTGGTTTTAGCCTAGATAAAAATGCATTCTAAAACACACCACACACCACACACACACACACACACACTCTTCAGGGGATGTGAAAACCATGCACATGTGGGCAACATATACAAAGTTAGGCAGCCCCACACGCATAATTTGTGTCATTCTATGAATCCATTCTCCCTTTGGAAGCTCTAACCCCCAGCCACTCACCCGCCGGTGGTTCATGTCCTCGATGTACTTCAACACTTTCTCAGTGGCCAAAATACTCCCTTTCTTCTTGGTTATGGTTCTTAGAATATCTTTTTCAAAGTCGTGCACTGCTCTCTGGACTTCAGTCCATCGAATATCAGCTTCCTCGATGATAGCCTGGGCAAGGCAGCACAAGAGAGGAGAGTTTCCAAGGCTTTTCAAGGATAAATCCGCTGAGGATACCCAAGTCTTTGTCCCCAGGCGACATGCCTCTTAGTTTTAGAGCTCTCCTTAAGGTATAAACCTGACTATATAAATATTACTATTAAAAAGCATGCTTTGGAAAATTGACAGTATCCATAAAAAGTGAGCAATCAAAAATGAGTTCTCAGATATAAGTATGTATTTCCATATCTGAAATATTATGCAACCATTAAAAATTATGTCATGTGGAAAATACCTGAGAGGATACACAGCAAAACTGGAACCCAGTTAAATCTAAACAGATGAAGTAGTGAAATAATAAAACATTCCTATTATACACTTATGTAACTTGAAAAAAAAGATGTTACCAGTGATGAGAAGTAATATGCCATAGACATATAGTATGTCAGAATATGCTCTACTATCATGTGTACCTAAAAAGAATAAAAAAGTTTTAAAATATGTTATCCATGAATCTATATCTATATATATAGATATGCATATAGAGAGCCCCCCTTATCTGCATTTTCATTTTCTACAACCTGACCATCTGAAAGCATTAAATGGAAAATTTCTGAAATAAGTAATTCACAAGTTGCAAATTGTGCACCATTCTGAATAGCATGATGAAATCTCATGCTGCCCTTCTCTGTCCTGACTGGGACATGCATCATCCCCTTGTCCAGTGTACCTTTCTATAATATGCTACTTGGCCATCAGTCACTTAGGAGCCACCTCAGATCAACTGTGGTGGCACTGCAGGTCTTGCATTCAAGTGATCCTTATTTTACTTAATTAGATCCCCAAAGAGCAAGAGTAATGACGCTGGGACAATTTTATTACTGTGTATTGTTATAATTGTTCTATTTTATTGTTAGTAACTGTTAATCTCTTACTGTGCCTAATTTATAAATTAAACTATATCATAAGATGTAAACAGAGGAAAAAACATGGTATATATAGGGCTTGATACTATCCAAGGCTGCAGAAATTCACTGGATGTCTTGGAACACATCCTCTGAAGATAAAGGGGAACTATGGTGTATTGACGTGGAAAGATATTGTTAAAAAAAAAAGATACAATTCACAAAACAATGATACCTTTTAAAAAAAGAAATTCATATATGCATAGGAAATGATCCAAACTCTAAAAGTAGATAAATTCAGTGGTCAACCATAATGGCTTCTGGTTGGAGGTACCATTGTGACTGTTTTCAATTTAAAAATGCTGTATAACAAATATGGATTGCCTTCGAATAAACACACATAATTTTTAAAATTATTATTTTTAGTTGTTGATAGACCTTTATTTTATTTATTTATACGTGGTGCTGAGAATTGAACCCAGTGCCCCATACACTCTACCACCACTGGCTACAACCCTGGGCCTCCACACATATAATTTTAAAGCATAAAATGAGAAGGTATCTATGGTCTCACTGCAAATCATTCCAGTTCAGGACTCTCCCCATGGTACTATTGCAAAATTTTAAGGGCATGTATGGTTACTGTGGTTACATTTTTAAAAAATCCATATCTTAGTGACATATCTAAAATACTTAGAGATAAATGGTATGTCTAGGATTCTCTGCATAACAGCCCAGTGGGACGAGGGGGAAACAGGTTGGGACATCGATGATCCAAGAGTGGCCATATGTTGGCATTTGCTACATCTGAGTGTTGAGTCCATAGGGATTCGTGGTGTTAATTCTCTACATTTGAGTATATTTGAAATTTTCCATTTAAAATGGTTTAGATTTTGTTGTTGCCTCAAGCAAGTGGTAAGTTCTTTAAAGACCTGCTCTCAAACTGTCTTATCCTACTTCTGTTTCTTCCAAAGCATCAATAATAACACAGACACACCACAGGAACTTCTTGACCAGGTGGAAATGGGAGTCCAAATAGGCTAATGAGACTGAGAGGAGAGTCACCTCGTGGTACTGCAGGTCCCGCTCAGCATTTGCCCTCATGTGCCTCAACTCGTCCTTCATGTCTTCCAGCTCCTTTTGCACAAGCTCAAGTTTTTGTTCGACACTGAGGCTTATCATACGGTCACCTGCCCGGGGTTTGGATTTACGCCTGCTCCGTAACTGCAACCCAACAAAACCAAAGCCACTGTCAAAGAGGTGGGCATCAACATGATTCTTCAGAACTGCTAGAACTTATCCCAAAGGAGAGCCAGGGGAAACAAACTCATGGTGAAAGGATTCTGGATATTTGGCCCGAGGTGGCATTTATTTCACAAGTCAGCCTAAGATCCTATGCTAGTTTCCTTGAAGACCCATGTTTGACAATGAACTAAAAATTAGTAACTGAAAACTTCTTGCAGGTGGAAAGACCGTGAATCACTGTAGACTAGAATTTAAATCAAGATCAGGAGAAGGCTGGAACTCAGCGCTTCCTAAACTGAACACAAAGAGAAACTGCATCCAGGGGCACAGTGTTCAGCAAAACAGACAAATAAATTAAAGTCTTGGATTTCCTAGACATTTAAGGCAAAGGTCGCAAGTAAGTGATCCAGGTAATCTTGGGCCTCAAAGTAACTTTATTTGATTTTCAAAGGATTAAACCTACACAGATAGGCCCTCTGAGACAAGGGCTACCTACCAGCAGGTCTTCTACGGCTGAATCCTCCAATTTAAGAGATTTCTTTCAAATAAAATAAGATATTCTGGGAGAGTTAATTCACCACTAATTGAACCTGACTCCCTTTACATTGATTTGAAATAGAAACTCTGGCACACCACAGGTAGAAACACAAATACCACCTGCATATAAGGGGACAGATAGGATAAAGTACAGTTCAGATCTCTATTAGGTACCTGTGCAAATTCTGCTGCTGTTATTTTAACATCTGAAATTCGCAGAGGTCGGTATTCCCTAGACTCCAGTTTACAGCAGTATTTCTCAAACATCTCTGTCTCCGTTTTGAGAGCAGAGTTTCCATAGCTGCAAGACAGTGGGTTACTGAAGTTAAGTTCTAATAGGAGTTTAAACCCCAAATAACCAGTCCTTAACATTTATTGGCCACGTGTGCAAGACATGCAGCCTCTTGGTATCTTATTTCTCTCACCTATAAAAAGGAAATAAGAATTGCATCTCCCTGTTAGTGTCGCAACAAGGAATGCAAAGATTTTAAGACAGTTGCTGGCCACATTCAAGTGCTGTTTAAGGCTCAGATATCTTTATTATTATGTTTAATGAGCCCCCAAAGTTGCAACACTGGTATTATATTGAAAATTGTTGTACTGGTTTTATCTTCAAGTGTCATCTAACTCATTTGTGAAATTCCTTCAGAATCACTATTTTTTTTGAAACTACACATATCCACCAACTCCAGGTGTTTCCTTTGGTTTATATTTCTCAACTCTTTTATTTCTAGCACCCAATAGATGAAAGAATCTGCTGGAAGATTATCATAAATTGTGAAAAACTTTGAACAATATCTTTTTAAACAACTAGAGATGACAAATTTAGTTTAGCTTCTTAACTTCTCATATATATAACTTACATGTTTTAGATCTATGTGCATAATGCATATATATTTTATATATACATGAGTGAGAATGGCTTTGATGTTTTCATATGTTACTGAGATAATTCCTGTTGGACTGAATTTTAAGATTAGTGGAGAAGGTTGACTAGAAAACACAAAATACCAAAATGTCTAGCTTTCTCAGCATATTTCACATTCCCAGTATAGCCTGTGGAATTGTCCCTGAATCTGAATCCCAGCATGAGTACTCTCAAGCTGTGTGAACTTAGGAAAGTGCCTTAACCTTTGTGTGCCTCCTAGGATTGCTGTATCATTATATATGATCAAAAATGCAAAATACACGGCACATAATAACACTCAAAAAGTGTTGCTCTTGGTAATAAGGCCTCAATTCAATCCTGGCCTAAACTATTTATAGATGCATAGAAATAACATCTGTTCAACTTCCAGAGTCAGGATATTCTGTGCAAAATCAGTTAAGTTGTGCGATGTACCTTAACTACGTCATAGAATCATGATATCCCATTTACTTACTCAGATATAAAACAGACTGCTAAAAACCTACTGGGCCTGTGGTTCTTTTTAGTCTACCTCCATACTTACTCTCTGGCTCAAGCCCAGGTTGCCCCACAGCAAAATCATTTCGACAGCTTCCTTCTATCCTGCTTCCATATTAACTGTACCATAGAATCTTAGCATTGGAAAGCCTTTTCTGGTGCAGAACAGGGGAACAGTTAGGCTCATAATCTGGCACTACGCAGACACCAGGCGAAACTCCAACGTCACCAATGACCCTCTGGCCCCCCCCCAGGCCCCGCCCCTTCGCGCCTTCGCCAGGTCCTGGCAACTGCTTGTCAGCTCAGTGGCAACGGAGACTCAGGACACCCACTTGGGGGGTCTTGGACTTCCCAGCGTTCAGTGTGGAAGGTCTCCAGGCTGGAGCCAAGGTCCGAGGCCACTCGGCAGGGGATCCACCGTACCGAGAAGCGGCCAGCAACAGCCGACGGGGGGTACCTGAGCTCCTCCACCAGCCCGCACAGCTGGATGACAGGAAGCTCGCTGTCCTCTCCCGTCTGGGAATCGGTGTGGACGCTCTCAGAGTCCTCGTCAGTCATCGCTGTACCCAAGCGGCCCTTGCCAATGCCGAGTGTGCCCAGGAGCGCCGGACGCTAGCCGCCACGCGTCACTCAGGCTGCTACTCAGTGGAGCGTTGCCTGGGCGACCGGACGCCGGCAGAGGGGCGGGGCTGCGGAAGGCCCCGCCCAGTGCTCTTCGGCCTGTCACCGCGCTGACCAGAGCCAAGTTCCCGGCCTTCTCTGCCACCACCTAAGCGCTTTTAGCTTCTTTCTTTCTTTCTTTCTTTTTATCTTTCTTTTTTAACAATAGCTTTTAAATTGACAGTCATACTAGCAGCTACCGTTTGCTCAGCACTTCCTATGTCTTTGGCACTGTGTGAAAGCACACTTGCATCAACCCTGTAAAAATATTATTCTGCCTATTCTTCAAAACAGGTTCCTGAGGTCCAGACAGTTAAAACATTTTGTCTGTCTTTCCCCACGAGGCCCATACCCTGCTCACCACCTGCTGTTTCATGCATGCTAGCTGCAATTTCTCTCAGATATCAACACTTTCGTGTAAATTCAAGAAACATGACTAAATAGGCACTAATCTCTGCGGAGTCCTGAGTACCCAGGGGAATACGCGGAAAAGACATTCTGGCCCTCGAAGGGTTTCTAGTTAATTGAGGAAAATGGCCCCTAAACAAGCCAATGCAGCCTGTTTGACTTGGTTGATCCCAGTTGCAACATCCTTAACACAATTGTCCACTTAGAAGTGGTTAAATGGTAATTTCATATTTTGTTATTTTAAACCACAATTAAAACAAAAAGTAAAGCAGTGAAACCAAATGTGAACTTCAGGATGTTCAATCCCTCATACCCTAAATAAATAAATAAATAAATGAATCCTGAACTTGACCTCTTCTCATAGCTATGATCATCCTGGTCCAAGTCACCTTCATCTCTTGCCTGAATTCCCGCAGTTACCTCTCCACAATGTATTGTTACACACCAATAAAACTGGAACGAGGGTGGGGGTGGGACTCTTACAGAGTGAGGGTAAGAAGAAAAGAGGAGGAGGGGAGAGGCAGGAAGGAAGGAAGGAAAGAAGGAAGGAAATTCTGCCAACTCCCATATAAAAATTAGACCATGCCTCCTTGGCACAGAACCCTCCATGACTTCCCATGTCACTTAGAGTAAGATCCGAAATCCCTTATGGTGGTATACCCTCTCCACCGCGCACCTGCCAGTTTCCTCTCCGACCTCAGTTCCTGCCCCGACCCCTTCTCCTTCTCCTTTCCAGTCACACTGGTCTCCTGGCTGTTCTCAAGCATGCCAGACATGCCCCTGCCTCTGGGCCTTTCCCTGGCAATTCCCTCTGCCTGGAGCCGCACGACTGCTCCCTTCACTTCCTTCAGATTCGATTCCCTTTCAAGGATGTCCCCTCCACTCTGCCCGCTTCTCAGCCCTGGAAACTTAGCCAGCAAAGTAGGTTGATTCTGAAACAAGCACCCGGAATCCAAGGGGCGGAGTCAGTGTGTCTTCAGGCTTCCTGTCAGGGCAGAAGAGTTCACCCCAACACAGCCTATCCCCCACCACTCCTGGGGACAGGGCTGCCAGCCCTCACTTTGCCCCTTCAAGTTGTCGCCCCACCCATGATTGTGCTGTTGATACTTCCCCCTCCCTGGACCCCTTCCCCCTGTCCCTTCCTGCCGCCCTAGACACTGTGCAATAGTATGCAACTGCAATGTCCCCAAAGATCCATGTGGTAAAGGCTCGGTCCCCAGCTTTGGTGCTTTTCGGAGGCGGTGTTACCTTTAAGAGAAAGGCCCTAGTGAGACGTCTTAGGTGTGCCCTCAGTGGGGACAGTGGACCCCAGCTCTTTCTTCTTCCTCTCTTTTACTCCCTGGCCATAAAATGAGCCACTTTGCTTTGCATACTTCTGCCATGATGGGCTGCCTTGCCGCAGTCCCAAAGGAATGGGGACAATTGATCATGGATGGACACCTGCAAAACTATAAGCCAAAGTCAACCTTTTTTCTTCACAAGTTGGTTATTTGAGGTATATCCTCTGGTGACAGAAGCTGACTAATCCACCATTCCTGGATTTCCCAGGCTTCTAGCTGACTGGTTTCTGTCAGTGAGAGGCAGCCATGGGAGACCAGAAAGCAGGAAGAGAGAGCACCCAGGAATGTCTTCCCGGCGACCTCTCTCCTTTGGCACTACAGTTCCGGCGGGGCACAGCACCTGTACAAGCACACAAAACTGGCCATGCTGCAGGTCCCCAGGTGCCTTGCCTTGCTTGATGGTTCCAGCTCTGCCTGGGTGAGTACCAACAACCCCTTTGCTAAGGTCTCTTAGGTGGCACTGTGTGGGGTTCTATTTCCTAAAGGATCCTGACTAATAAATACATCTGGTTTCCACTGCCTGAGGATTGCACCTCAGCTCCACTGGACAGAGAGATTTACTCTACAGATACCCCAGAAGAGGGGACTGGCACATACAAGTCACTCTAAACCGTAAGTCATTGACTTCTGTTCTTGGAGTTTGGCTCTTGAAGGTGGTCGCCAGTGTCCAGAAGAAGTGGGGAAGGGAATGGCTTGGAGGTGGGGGAGTCAGAAGCAGATTGTTTAATGACCCAGGATTCCAGCCTTGGCTTGGCCACTGGCTGCTTAAAACGTGTGTCTCCCAATGCTTTCGGTCCCTCAACTTCCATCTCTGGAGAACAGGGACAACACTTTCTAAGTGACTACCCTATGCATCTTACAAGGTTACTATCAGGCTTAAATGGTGTGGAGCAAGTTTAAATGTATGAAGCCAAGATGGGCACCCAGCATCTCCTCCACCAGGAAGGAGCTATTGTCCCAGATTGGCAGCAGTTCCTAGTAGATTATTATGTGACAAACTGACTCAGCTTTCAGGCTTTAAATAATAATAGTGATAATTGGCATTGCTATTTCTTATATATTTATTACTCATTAGGCAATGTTCTAATTGCTTAATAAAACACATACCAATTACTGTTTCAGTTACTATTTATTGCATGCTGGCTCTCTGTTCCACGCAGCATGGAGCACGTTCTATGATTATCTTGTTTCTTCATCATGAAGATTCTCTGAGATACAGAGACCTTCATGACCCTATTTTACACATGATGAGAGACAGAGGTTCAGAAAAGTTATACAACTTGCCCAAGGTCACGTAGCTCTTCTGGGTGGGGCTGAAATCCAGGTTTACCTTGCTCTGCTCAGTGTTCCCACCCTATCCATCCTGGTGGAGCAGGGGTCCCCAGAAGATAAGTAAAGACTCCCACCACGCGCCCCCCAGAGGACTCTGGGCAACTCTGAGATGTTTTTGTTTGTCCTCACTGAGGAGGGTGCTTCAGGGAGCCAGTGAGTTGCAGCTTGCCTTAGTTTCCATAGTTGCCATAACAAAGGACTGCAAAAGCCAAAGCAATTTGTTCTCTCCCAGTGCTGGAGGCCACTGGAATCAGGCCACTCTCCCGCTGGAGGCTCTGGGGAGAAACTCTTCCCCGACTCCTCCTAGCTCCCTGGGACTCCTGGCAATTCCTGGCATCCTGTGGCTTGTGCCTACCCGGCTTCTCCTGATCTCTCTTCACATGGCCTCCTTCCCTGTGTCTTTGTGTGTTCTCAGCTCTTTTTCTACGTCATCAGTTTTGTTTTTCTTCTTTTAATTTTATTTTCAACTGAAAGATAATTATAGATCATTAGAGTTAGAGTCAATTCTAAATCCAGAATGATTTTATCTCAATATATGGAACTAATCACAATGGCAAAGACCCTTATTCCAAATAAGATCACATTTGGGGGTTTCAGGTAGACATGAATTTGGCACGGGGACTTTTGAACCCACTACACTGGTGAACACCCTGAAATGTAGTCTCCACCACAAAGACTCACCTGCCTCCAAATACCAATACACCAAGGAACTCTGCTCAAGAGAAACACCTATTTTCTGAGAAGCAAGAAGGTGTCTCTGCTCATCAAGATGCTACAAACAGCAAGGGTCTCAGAGTGAGTGGCTTCAAATCCAGAGGCCATCCCCTCCTGTTGACCTCCCCCACCACTTCCACTGGTTTAGCCTCCAGTATCTCCATGTGGCTTCTGCCCCCTGCCCGCTCCTTTGCAGGATTTTGATTTGAACGATAGGGTCAGATCCACCCAAGTATTAAATGTCAGCCATAATTCAGAAGTGCTTATCCTCTTCTTCCTCCCCAAAGGGGAAGGTAAGATGCTTGAAAAATCAAATAAAGGAACTCAGGCTCATAAACAAGTGACTGTTTGCAAATTATAGAAACAATGCCAGCCATGTGCGGTAGATGTTCATCGATGGCTACCAGAGCCTTTTCCTTCATTCTTTCAACAAATGTTTATTGAGCGCCTACTGTGTGCTTGGCCCTGGGCCTGCAGTAGTGAGCAGCAGGGCCAAGGGTGTCCCTGCTCACTTGGAGCTTCCAATCTAGTGTCAACAATCATGGTCCTGGGTGGTGGTACCCAGAGTAAAAGTATAAGGTACCCCAGATTTCAAAGCATCAGGAAAGTGGTCTCCTGGAGCAAGAATGGATTCTTGGTCCAAACTCAACCATAAACTGAGTCCTCAAGCAAAGGCAAGAGTGGCATCAGGGAAGGGAAGGACCTGTGGAAAGTTCCAGAGAACAAAGAGAACTGAGGGAAGGTCAGTCTAGGCTCCACCTCTTTAGAAGAGAGCAAAGCAGAGGACGTCATGACTAACATCTGCTTTCTGGTTTCCTCCTGTCCTCCGGTGGCTCCTGATGGCCTCCTTGTCTAACAGAAGCTGTGGGATGCTTTCTGTTGGTGTCCATGTTGAACTTGGGGTGTGTGTCCATGGGTGCATGGAGGGGTCACCAGATCATTCCTGTTAAGGATGGACCTTCAGGACCAAGCCTTTTGACCTCATTCAGATGCAGATGGCAGCATCCAGAGTGGCCAGGCATCTTTGGTATGCAGAAGTTGCTTTGTCCCAGTCAAGAGTGAAGCAGAGACATAAAGTCCCCACAGAGCTTTAGAGTGGAGGCTTGTTCCCTGACAAAGGAGCTCTCATTTAAAAAATTTGAAACCGAGGCACATAATAAAGGGCTGGGAGCCATGGCCAGCATTACCTGTGCTTCCTATTCCCTCTGGATCAGAGAG